TCGTTGGATTGGCATCGATTCGTGATAAGGCACACACGCACACACATCAGAAAAACATATTTTCAACAGAAGCATTGATAGCTTATACAGTTACTGCCAGCCACCAGCAGTGACAAGAGAAGCCCACGTTTGATCACGCAGATCAAAACTGTGGAAACATTATTATTAGTGAGCGTGGAATCATCAATCATTGATGCTAGTTCAATAGTCTACTATGCATGCCTCGAATTTCCTATTCGCTTCTTTCGCTTACAAGTAAAATAATTGGGAGCTAATATATCATACAACAGGAACAACTGAAAAATAAGATTCTGATTTGGAGTTCTGCAATTTGGAGTGCATTTCCCAGTTAGGGTAGCGTGCCTTATTGTTAGCGTTCTCGTTCTCAGTAAATGAGTAGGGACTATATTTCCCGGCTTTCTGATCGAAAAAAAACCCATAAGAGATAATCCCACATTCCGTGTATCTCACAAGAGATCCACAAGTCCAAAGGAGGATAGAAAACTAGCGGTACAGGTATCAGATTGACACTGAACTAATAAATCATCAAGCATGCAGAACCACAGACAGCAGCAAACAACGTTAATTCATTAGCATACAATACCCGATTATGGTTACAATCTGAAGAGTGTAATTTGAAAGAAACAAAACTAATCACAGCACTATAACAACACACAATAAATATAATATATACTCCAGTGTTTTAATAACAAGACCTTTTGATAATACCTTTCCAAACAATGCCTTCTCAAATTCAAAATGCGGAAGATTTCAATCTCTGTGTGTGCAGCAATGAAATTACTCATCTGAAACGAATTCCGTTCAGATGAAAGAGGTGAAATACCTCGAGTGTCATTTCGATCTGTACAAGCTGCTGTTCACAGCGCAAATCGTTCCCATTTCGAATTTGATATAGTTTCGAGACACAGCTGAACTATATAGATAGAAGAAAATGAGAAGAGCGAAATTCTCGCCGCATATAGCAAAAAGAGCATTCGATAAACAAGCAGTCATATTTTGGTATGCGTACTGAAAGCCTCCCCAGGAAGCCACATAGCTGATGGGTAGCATTGCGACAACTGTTTCGAGGTGCTTAAGGCAGTCGAAATCATGAAAGAGTTGATCGTAGAATTCCACCGCTAAACTCTGGGCGCATATACCAAGTTGTGACTGCTGTGCCCAGCAAATTCAATTCAAAATTCTTTGAATCGATCCGCACAAAGATTCTCTGTGGCGATCTTGAACAGATCACCCTCCTCTTTGATATCCTCGACGAAATGCCTTGTATCCTCAGGTCCATTCACTCGTGGATATAAAGCCTCGAAAAGTCGTCCGGATTGATTTTCTTTATTCGAGAAACTTGCTGGCGTTACCTGATATCACCATCAGAAAATTACTTATGACAAAAACAAAAAACAAAACACCAATAAAATGCCATAAACAATATAAATAACTCATTAATGCATGCAAAAATTCAAATTTGCTACACATTGTCTGTGCAATTGATTGTTGTTTGACACCAAAACCTCAGCACAATAACAAAAATAAGCGATTCATGCAGAAAAAAATCTTGATGAAACCTTTCGAAACAACCATTTAAGTTGAAAAGTTCCTGATCAGAAGTACACTTACCGAATCTGAGTGATCATTTATTGAAATTAATTTTTAAAAAATAAACAAGATGATAGCAGAGGAAAATCTAGTTTCAAACGCTCAGCAAAACAGAGTGAACCGATTACAGAATTGGCTTAATACGATAGCTAACTTACTCCGGAAAGAAATTTCACTTGCGTTGTCACGCCAAAGAGTTCTTATTATTGATCAAGGTCAATGAAAGATTTCACTAAGAAAGTAATATAGTTCAAAAAAGGAATGTTATTTTTCAGTCGAGAAGCACTATAAAGCATCGCTTTCGCGGTTATCATCAGAGCTCTATTGCATGCTGTTAGTGAATTTGAAAACTGTTATAACGAAACAAGCGTGCACAAGCTAGCGATTCCCGTTAGTGATTAGTCAGTTGAAAATGATGAAATTTCAGCATTAGTTAACAGTGCAGAGAAATATTAAGCTGAAATTTCGCGAGACAAATTATTTTGAGATATCTGGAAATGGAAATCTCAGATGGCCGTTAGAGATAGGGACTTCGAAGGAAACGATTGAAAAAAACTGAACTTAATCAAGACTTAAGCTCGCTTAATGAAGTTCACTCTAAGCATTCTGTTCAAATCATCAGTATTCGTCTTACAACTGAGAAAGTCTGATGGATTTGGTGAACTTTGTTGTGCTCGATAATAGGAAATTCCTCATGAAGATGATGATTAGAAAAGGAACCTTTCTCTGATAGATGGCGATCCAATCGGTCGAGCCGAACCATTTATGATTCTTAATATCAGCAACACCGTTTTTAAGGTTACCGTATCGCTTCGTCAAATCTACTTGAAGTAAATTCTTCAACAAATCTTTCAGCTCATTCGAGAAATGCGAAGGGAATTTCACCTGAAATCACAAATATTTCATTTTATAAAATAAACTTCTTATCAACATAAATTTGAATATGGGTAATGATGCGCTGAAAATGATAAAAAATCGAATTTAGGGAAATTTACTTTTCCGGAAACGATTTTCTCGTAGATCTGAATGGGTTGATCAGCGAAGAACGGTGGATATCCAGCGGCCATTTCATATATTAGCACACCAAGTGCCCACCAGTCCACGGCCTTATTGTAGCCCTGCGAAGGAAGTAATGATAAAAATTTGTGAATTAACGATAAAAATAACGATAATAAGAATGACAATAATGAGCAGAAAGTCGCTTATAGTGATAATGAGTAATAANAACTCACCTTACTAAGGATAATCTCAGGTGCAAGATACTCAGGCGTTCCACATAATGTCCACGTCCGACCCTTCACTCGTTTCGCGAAACCGAAATCAGTAATCTTCAATGAACACCGCATCAAGACTCATTTACAATCAGCAACTCTGATGAAATTAACCAATAAATGGATCAGTACTGAAGAGAAGATAAAGTGAGGTGAGAAAACAAGACAATAAAGAATGCACGAATGCAACAGATACCTTCAGATAGCCAGTGCTATCGATGAGTAAATTTTCGGGCTTGAGATCTCTATAGATGAGGTCTAATGAATGTAGATATTCGAATGCTAAAACAATCTGCGCTGCATAAAACCTTGAATGTGGCTCACTGAATCGTCCGATTCGACGTAAATGTGAGAACATCTCACCGCCACTGATGAACTCCAACACCATATATAAATTCGAGTTATCCTGCAATTTGCAATCAAATTTTCTCCATCGTTAACATGTGTTCCTCTTTTGGATGTTCACTTCATTTGGATGTTCATTTGGATGCTAACTGAGTTCATTTCACTGGAATGCTACCGTATTAGCAACGTACTCGTTGCATCGATGATATACACGTGCAACATTCTCCCGTTCTTTCATAAACACTGACATTCTTTTGAAATCTCTAATTTATTCTCCCATGTCAATTTTCTTAATGTACATGCTCATTGTCAGTGATTTTTTTGGAGTAGAATTGGAATGAGACTCATGGACTTGACCTGACCCCTTACTCTCGCTTGCTCGATAGCCCTTGAGCCCGATTTCGCCTCCGACTCAAACCTGATTCAGACTCTCCGTGGTCATATGGATGGACTTAAGTAAGTTTCGCATTCAATCGACAAGATACTAATCCAATTGGCTAAAAAAGTTCTAAACAGAAACGTTGATTTGATTCTTTATCCGAATTCCCGAACAACAGAGAGATTTATCGTTGGAAATCACGCTGATAGTCTTCTACAATTTTTGTTACTTTGTTGATCGGAAAGAAGTAAATTATCGCTATTTTTAGAAGTCGAATTGAAACTTAGAAGGTTTTAGTTAGCCTTTGTTGCCTAGCGACAAACGTGGGAATTTGTTTGAACAACACTTAAATGTATCACTGAATGAATTACATGACTGATTATAGATCATTTTATGTGAAGTTGGCCTATTCGGGGTGTTGTGAGAATTTTATTCCTAAGAATTTTTGAAGAATTTTTCTCGATTTATCACATCTCAGGGAAGAAGATCTAGCTCCTTGCTACCTGTAGTTTTAATATGAAGATAGTGACGAAGAAGCTTTTCAATAGAACGCAACAAACCTTGAAAGAATATTCCATATTGACAAGAAATGGGAAATCGATAGCTTGTAGAATACGTTTTTCATTGAGTGTGTGTTCGACTTGTTTAAGTTTAACAACTTTCTGTTTATCTAATATCTTCATTGCATAATAAGATGACGTCTGTTTGTGCTTCACTAACATCACACGTCCAAATGAACCCGTTCCGAGCGTTTTTATTCGATCAAAATCATCTAAGGCGGCCGTATTCTGAAAATGCTTATGTTAAAATTCACTTGCCGATTACAACTTGATTGTATGCTATGATGAATGATGTTGATAGTGGTAATAATGATCAGAATTAATGATAATGATCAACATGAATGATTACGAAACCAAAACCAGCACTGATCAACAAATGATAGATTCACTAAAAATCGCTCGGCAAACAACAAGATTTTATAGAAGGAACCATGATTTGATCCTTAGGCATTCGGTGGTTGCAGATTCGCAAGTGAATATCATCGCAGTCCATAACAAGTTTCAAATAAAGGGAAATAGATAGTCTGATGAACAGCCACAAGGGCAAAATGAAGAAAGTTCTCAGAATATCAACCGCCGGTAGGTTATGAGCACAATGTTAGTAACAAGCAAATTCAACGCCTGAGCGCAAGTTGACTTCCCAAAAGATTTAGCTTGATAATGAAGGATGTATTCGGATGAGAACGTGCTCACGTTAACAACCATGTAGCAATACTATGAGTTGTTAGGCAACTCTGGATTAAGAACACAATTTGTATATCGACGAGCGGATAAACAGAGGCTAACATTGGTAACGCCGTCAAGCAATATGAATGAAAACAGGGAAGGTGACATGATGAAATAGAAAGAGCAATGATCACAACGACGATAGACATCACAGTTACAGCGATGTGGTTAGTAGTAATAAGAATGACAATTAGCAGTATGAGCCTCTACGATCATAATTATCATAATGAATCCATGATACTAATGAGTCAATGCAAGGAAACAAGATAAGTTCCGCAAGATGAAGATTGAATATAGGCAAAGGAAATATCAATGAATCGCTCGATAACATTTTCGAAAAATTTTTTTCGAAATGATCTTGGAAATGGGATGTTGGAAAATTGAAGTGAAAGAAGTGATTTGGAAAGGGTAAAGTGCGATTCAAGATTTTTTAATGGAAATGATAGCGATAGAACAGATGATAGCGGATGTTGTATGCGGAAATAAAGACACTGATGTATTTTTAAATATATATCATCAGATATAAACCAGATAAGAGAACAATCTCACAAACGTTCTCACAGAAGATGATGATGATGCCGCAGACAAAACAAAACAGATATTCATAGCTACGAAGAGGCATGATGAGAGAAGATAAGGAAGGAAATGGATAAATTGCTATGATAATCTCACGAAATCGAATGACGAATTGTGATTGAGTGGAATGATTAAATTCATGTGCATATACCTTGCAATTCCATAGCTTCATTGGATAATATGATGCAAGCTGTGATTTGAACCAGAATAAATCGGCCGAAAGGTGCAACTGCTGATAGGCACTCAGCAAAAATGATATGCTATCCATATTGGAGGGATTTGCGCAAGCTGGTAGATTGTTGGACATGAGGTTGGAAAGTTTAGACCATATCGTCAGAGGTGACTCTTTTGAAGTATCTGCTCCCTTTGTAGATGTCTCTACAACAACTCTAGGTGACAGTATTGTCTGCTCTGCCGTTGGCTTTAAAAATGAGGAATTTAGCGAAGACACAATGCGATAACTCGGTCTTTTACCAGCTGCGAACTGATAGATTCGTTGATCAATCATCAGTGCATTTGCATATCGTCTCATATCAAAGCCTCTCCGTTGAAAATGGGCTTCTGAATCCACAATCATTTTCTCAAAGTTGCTCGCAGAAAGTCCAGGATCATCACGACGATCCTGTTCTGAGTTCAGTTCGTTCGCTAGTAAACTCGGACTAGGACTACTTCTGCTTGATGATGGTACTGCATTCAAGTGTGATAACTTCGCAGAAGTCACTTCTAGATCTGCCTTCATTGAAGGCGGAATATTTGTGTCAGTGAAGATACACGAATATTTCTTATCAATATCGCTGCTATCCAAATGGCTGGAACTATCGTCGTGTCTGGCAGCAATTCTATCTTCTGTTGAGGAAAGTGCTTGCTTTTGAATTTCTAAAGAGAATAATAAGGATTTTTGTTGTTCACTCGTTTCGTTGAGACGATTTGCT